TTTTTTAACAGTTCATGACAGATTCAGCGTCCATGGCGTGGAGTGTCATTGTCCGCTTCCAATCCTCTGACAGGGAGCCAGGAGCAGAGAGCACCTGGGCATAGCACAGGCTTCCCCAGGGGAGGGTTCCTGGCGACAGGAGCATGTTGTTGGGAAGGCTGCATTGGCTTGTTTCCATGTTACTGGCAGTCCATCCATCAGCCGATTGTGGGAATCTTTCACAAAGTGAAGCCCAGGCCAAGCTTTTCCCAGTCCTAGGGAGGCTGTTCACTTCCACAGGTTTCCTGGGTAAGGAAGAAGGTAATCCAGATGGTCAAGCTATGCACCCTCCATCAAAGGCAAGGCATAGGCTGTGGGTGGATTACAATAGGAAGAAGTTGCTTGGGTTTCCCTCCCTGATTCTAGAACAGAAAATGGCTTCTTATTGGTGGGCCTGTCCAAAGGCACACTGAGCTGGCTTTGTCACTTAGGGGGATGAAGGATGTAGGTGGAACAGTGACATGTTGGGGGATACCAGTGCTGATTCATGAAAAAATCTATTTTTCAAGAAGCCTACCACCTGGATCAAGGGTTCTTCACTTAGAGTCCATTGACCCTCAAAGGCTCCCTGGATAGATTTCAGGGGAGAGGGGTCTGTGAATACATATGGGAAATTTACATTTTTATTTTCACTAATCTTTAATTGAAATTTGGCATTTTCTTGGATTCTTTAAAAACATGATACTGAAAAAGGGTCCATAGGCTACCCTAGATTGTAAAAGGGGTCTATGACCAAAAAAAAAAGTAAAATGAAAAACCCTTGATCTAGATGATAAAATCCCAAAGGCATTAATTTTAATAAATTTAAGAAAAATTGACAGCATAGTGTATGAAAGGGTGCTGAACTAGGAGTCCGTAGACATGGTGCTGACCTTGATAAGCTTTGAATTAGGGGAAAAACCATTTAATCTTTGATCCCCACCTATAAAAATCTGGATAAAAATCATTGTACTTTCTTCTTCCCAGGGTTGTTCTGAGGAAAGCACTTTGTAAAGTGCCAGGCAAATGGAAATTATTATTAAGAAGGAATCAACATTATTTAGTATTCAATGAAGTTGTTGGGGGAACTATGAGATCTGAGTTCCAGACTTGACTCTGCTTCTGATCTTTATTTTCCTCAACCATTAAACGAAGGAGTTTCTATGGTGATCTCTTAGGTCCTTTTGGGAGCTAACATTCTATGATGTTTATGGATCCAGATTCTGTCCATCAATCATTCCCTCTGTCAATTTGAAGGCCATGTTTTGTAGGCATGGCAGGTTCTATGAGCAGGTGAAGTACATGATGTGATTGGATGGTTTCTGCTATCCATAATACTTGTCTCCTATTACTTGACAGCTTCATTCTTTATATACAAAAAAAATTCTAGCTTCATTCTTCATGGTCTTAAAGAGCTCTCTTCTAAAACGTTAAGTTTCTTAGAGAGAAAGAGGAAAGCATTCATTCCTTTATCAGATAACACCTTAACTATTAGCTAACACCTTTATTATTAGTTAAGACCTTAGCAGGGGTTAGTTAGCAGTCACAAGAGAAAAAGAAGTGGGGCACAGATTAGATGGGATATAGGTGATGACTAGGAAGGAAAAGTGTGTTTTTAGGTAAGAGGAAAGAAAAATATCCCCTTCTTCACAATTTTCCAGTGGGTCTGGAGGTTTATTGCTGCTGAGGAATGTCTTGGTGCATGTAAGGCTTTTTTCTTATAATTAGGCAGATTCCCATTGCTCCAGATGGAGTGATAGCCACTCCAGAAGGGCAGAATGAAACTCTTAAATATCCCTATTCAAAACCCCAAAACATCTGGTGGGGGGTGGTGGTGGTTTAAGCAGACCACCTTGTAGACTCTCCTGCTGTGATGCCCATTAAGAAGGGATGACCAATGTGTGCTTGGTCCCAAGGGAGATCAAAGATGGGATTGCTGTGTGTTCCTGCTTTTGGAGGCTGAGACTAAATCAGAAGTTCTCAATCTTTTGTTCTGTGCATCATGGGCCCCTTTGGCAAGTCTGGTGAAGCTTATGGACCCCTTCTTAGAAAAGTGTTGTATATGCATAAAAATAGAACTTACTGGATTACAAATTTCAAATTAATTCGAAACATAATTATCCAAAAAGTTTATAGACCTCAGGATAAGAACCCCTGGTAGATGATCAGACAATGAAATGAACAAAACCCCCAAACAACCAAAAAAAATTAAAAAAGCAATTGAGTCAAAGCACAGTTAATCCTGATGTTATGGTCCATTTAGCAATTGACCAGGGTTTCTACCAGCTGTGGTTCTGCTGCTAATGGTACGACCTTTGACAAGTCACTTTCACTCTCTGGGCCTCAGTTTCCTCAGTTGTAGAATGGAGGATGATGGTAGACTAGAGGGACTTTAAGGTCTCTTCTCCCCCTGACATTCTGTGGCTTTGTTCACATAGTTAATTTAGAGTTGTTTAAAAGATCGATTCATGGTTGGCCTGGTAATGTTATCAGCATATTTTTAGGAACCTTTGGATTACACTAAAGCTAGTGGATAGAAGATATACACATACACACATATAGGTGTATATATACATATATACACATATATATATATATACATACATATATATATATATATATGGAGAGAGAGAGAGGAGAGAGAGACAGAGACACACACACACACGCACAGAAAGAGAGAGAGAGAGAGAGAGAGAGAGAGAGAGAGAGAGAGAGAGAGAGAGATAAGGAGAGAGAGAGAGAGAGAGGAGGGAGAGGAGGGAGAGGAGGGAGAGGGGGAAGGAGAATTTTGGTTCAACATCAAAAAGAATTAACTTTGACATAGAGGTCTTTCTTTTTTTTTTTTTTCAAATCTTAGGTTTATAAGTCGATGAACATTTTAGCATTGTTGTTATTTGGTCCTTCAGTTGTGTCCTACTCTTTGTGACCCCATGCCCCATAATATGCCGGTATTGGGGTTTTCTTGGCAGGAATACTGGAGTGGTTCACCATTTTCTTCTCCAGTGGATTGAGGCAGAGGTTAAGTGACTTGCCCAGGGTTATACAGTTAGTGTGTGTCTGAGGATGGATTTGAAGTCAGAACTTCCTGACACCAGGCCCAACGCTCTATCCACTGAACCACCTAGCCTCCTCTGTACTTCGGCATCCTATGGCCAAATTTTTATTGGACTTAAGTGAGTTTCTGGAAGCTGGGGAGGCAGTTTTGCATAGTGGATAGAGAACTGGCTTTGGAGCTACAAAGACCATTGCCTCTGACATACACTGGCTGTGTGATGCCTTGTAAACCACTTACCCTACTATTTAGCGCTCTAGATGCCTCGCTAAGACAATAAATTGCAAGGAACTTCTGCCTTGTACTAGTAGAGGGACAGTCTTCATTGGGAATTCCCTTAACCAATGAAATGTCAAAGCCAGTCCCTACACTTAGCCCTTTGAAGCCCAAAGCATCTAAACAGATTAACTACACGTGTCCCAATTTATCATTACCCTTATTCACTCCTGTTGAAGTAGCCCTAGGTTTAAGAATTTCTAGGGACAGCTAGGTAGCACATTGGATAGTGGATTGGGCCTAGAGTCAGGAAGATCTGAGTTCAAATCCTGCCTCAGACACATATTAGCTGTGTGACCTTGGGCAAGTCACTTAACCCTATATGCCTCAGTTTCCTCATCTGTCAAATGAGTTGGAGAAGGAAATCTTTGCCAAGAAAACCCCAAATGGGGTCACAAAGAATTGGACATGCCTGAAATGATTCAATAACAACAAATCATGAAAACTTGTTCTAAAGAATCCAGAGCCAGATTTTTAGGACTTTTTTTGGATTTCAGAGCAGTTTGAAATACCTCAACAAGCCTCATTATCATGGAACATGCAGAGATGCTGATTGATGGGTTTTTCTCTCCACCATCTTCTTCCACCATCCCTCCATCCCTAGCCAACCATTCTGTTTTTAAAGATGACATTTTTATTACTTTGATGGACAAGGGAACGGGGAAGAATTTTATAGTTTATTTCACTTCTATTGGCTCTACCCACTCAAAGATCAAATCGTCCTGTTCTTAGTCATTGTTTTTAATCTGATGCCCTTGTACTGGTCTTGGGGAGAAATTTTCTGGAAAAAAAAGAAGAAATGTTTGCATTATGAGAGACATGGATATTCTTTTTCAAGGTGCTAAATTTGTGCTGAGCTGGTTCAAAATGCAACCACATCTGATTATGTCTGGTGTCTACTACTCAAAAAATGGCCTAAATTCCAGACAACCTCTTGGGTTTAGAAAGAAATGTCATTAATCCTGCATTTGAATTTAATATTTGAAACTGTATCCTAATCTCTCTCTTTTTTGTCTTCCACATGAATTAATTTTGGAAAAGTTGGACAGAAACAAGGTTTTTTTTTTCTCCAAGAGAACATTTTTAATAGAAAGGTATAAAATAAAATGAAGTTTGACCTTTATGTTTACAGTCTTTCACCTGGCCTGGAAAGGAAGTAGACTTTTCTAGAGACATCTCACTCTTACTCCTCCACCTCCACCTCTATTCCTTTCCCTTTGTAAAGAAAGGCATATTGTCCCAAAGGTGATAGAGCTGCTTGGATGCATATTAAATGTTAGTATTTTTTTTTAATTAACCGACAAACATTTTAATTGAGTGACTGTTTGAAAGTCAAAAATCACTGGAGTGAGATGATTTAATATTGCATGTAGCCTGAGGCAGCTCTGCCTAGATTTGTGTGTCATTGGCTTTATTCTGGAAGAGCTGAGCCTACCCACATAGAGTAAGTTATGCACACGCACACATATATGCACATAGGTTTGCCAGAATTCACACAAAGGTATATGGAGCTATCTCGAATTACATCAGCTTGGTGGGCAATTTTTTCAGGAATGCTGGGATACCCAACATTTCAAAAATATTTCAAACAATCTTTAGAATATAAGCTCCATATGAGTAGGAATTGTTTCACTCTTTCTATCTATATCTCTAGCATGGACACCCCTGAGGAAGAGACAAGAGGCACATGCCAGGTGTATCAAAACACCACCACCACTTCAACTACCAACTCATTCAAACATGGAGGGAGATGGCCTAGGATCTGAGCCCAAGAACCCCTAGGAAAGGCAATGTTGAAACCATTGGCCCTACTTCCAATCAACTTTCAGCAGCCATAATTGTAGGAATCAACTTTTCTTCAGATGGGGATTCCCATCTCCACCACCACCATCATCTCCAGCCAAGTGGCATTAGTCCATAGATGCTGTAGTTCCCCTTTTTTCTTAACTGACATAGCTATTGAAGACCTGAATAGTAAAGTTCTTGCCCCCAAGTCCTTGGCACTGTCAAATGGTTCAATGTCAAAGAAATGGATATTGTTTTACCAATGGTGAACTAACAATAAAGAAAATTTACTACTGTTGCTTTGCTCTTGTACCCTGATGACCATGGGCCCTTTCTATCTGCCTTGCGACAGAATCTTCCTGTGTTTGTTGTCTCTCTCAATTAGAATGTGAGGTCCTTGAAAGCAAGAGCTGCCTAGCTTTTTCATGTGGTCCAGTGCTTTGAACCTGATAGGCATTTAGTAAATGATTTTTCATTTTTTGTTGTTGTTCTGTCATTTTAGTTGTGTCTGACTCTTCGTGACCCCACTTGGAATTTTCTTGGCAAAGATACTGAAGTGGTTTGTTATGTCCTTCTCCAGCTCATTTTACAGATGAGGAAACTGAGGCAAACAGGGTTAAGTGACTTGCTCAGGGTCACATAGCTAGTCAGTGTCTGAGGCTTAATTTGAACTCAGGAAGATGATTCTTCCTGACTCCAGGCCTAGTGCTCTATCCACTAAGTCACCCGGCTACCCAATTCATTCATACCAGGTTGCTGAGTGACCTGGAGAATGGAAAATCCAGGAGTGTGTGGATTTCTGAGTCCTTGTTCCCCTGCTGGAGAAGGCACATGGTCCCTAATGGCCTGAGAAGTCTCTCAAAGATTGAAATGTTGAATTGTGTAATGGAAAGACCATTGGACTTAAGTCTAGCTGGGAAGCACAAAGTGAAAAGAATGGGTGATGTAGATTCCAAGGACCTGGGCTCAAATCTTGGTTCTAATCCTGTTGGGCTATGATGTTGGTAAGTTAGTACCCTTTTCATTTGTAAAATTAAAGGCATTAACTGATAATATCTAAGGCCCCTCCATGCTCTAGACTGTCCAGAATTATGGGATTTGAGAGGCAGTTTTTCTCAGGGAATATTGCCAAGAGACCTCCAACTCACGGGACCTCTGTTGGAAAGAGTGGGTGTATGAATGGAACTGAGTGCCAAAGCTGGTAGTGTGGAGACAGTCTGCTTGCTTGGAGACAAGAGTAGCCATTTCAGCTGAACAATAACTATCATGTTGTTGGCCAATAGTGGTTTCATGAAGATTGTAGTGGTTATGCAGAACTGAAGGGTATTTGTCTAAATGTGGTTTGGAGAGGAAAAAACAATCCCTGACCCTGAATTTGTTTGGTACATTGATATCCCCAGGATCAGGAGGCCAAAGTTTTCAGAGGAGGAAACAGTGCACTGTCCCAAATGTCAAAGTGACCTCTCCAGAACCTGGACCACTAGGAAACGGACCACCACTCTTGTGAGGTTCCCAGCAAAATGTCTTAATTCATAATTGATAACTCATTGAGTTTCTGTTTTTACTTTTTTATATTAGAGACTTTGAAATGGAATTTCACAGGGAGGCAGAGGCCAAAGCACAAATTTGTCACGCGTGGGCAAGGTGGGAGTTCTTTTGAAGATAAAATACTAATTGAGTTCAATTCCTCAAGCATTTTCTAAAATTGCTATTGTTAGAATTTATCTTTTATATCACTTTATTTTATATCTCCATCCCCTATCTAGTGAATTGTCTCTTATATTAAAGAATAAAATGAGATAGAAAAAAGAGGGGAAAGAAAAAGTACAACTTCCCAACACATCTACTGAGTTTTACTACATACGCAGAATTCCACACTCATGGTCCTCCACCTCTTTAAGGAAGGACTGGAAGGGAGCAGCTAGGTGGTGTAGTGGGTAGAACACCAGCCCTGGATTCAGGAGGCCCTGAGGTCAAATCCGGCCTCAGACACATAACACTTACTAGCTGTGTGACCCTGGGCAAGTCACTTAACCCCATTGCCTAGCCAAAAACATAGGAAGGAAAAAAAAGGAAAGGACTGGAAGCACATTTTCTTATCTCTGCACTGGGGTCAGACATCGGTCAATTTTGTTCAGTTTCATTTTATTTTGTCTTTTCCATTTACTTTGTTGTATATAATGTTTTCAACATCTTACTTTGTATCAGTGTAATATTCCAAGAATTTATTAAGAACTTACCATGTGCAGCGGGTTGAGGGATAAGTTATGTCACATTGATAAGATAAAATTCCTGCTGTCATGGAATTGAACAGTTTCATTTAAGAATCAGATAAAACAACAGATTGAGAAAATACAAAATGATACATGATAAGCTATTACGCAATACGTGCAAGTTGTTAAAGCTTACAACTACGCTAAGACTTTTGGGACATCCTGTAAATTGAGATTTGGAAAAAAGTACTATTTGAGATGGGGGTGACGGGGAGTCAATACCCACTTGGGATCTCAGGGGAAGCTTCATTAAGGAAATGGAAGATGCCTTGCTACCTGAGTGATCTGGAGGGAGCACTTGAGGTAGGAGGGATCCACAACTCTCATCTAGAAAAGAGCTCAGAGCGGTGATATGGTTTGCTTAAGCTAATGTAGCTAAGAAATACTTCTTAATTTCGAATTTTGATCACTGGACTGGACTGAACTTTTCCTTTATTTAGTAAACTTATTGAGATTTCAGATTATCTGTGGAAATAAGTTGGTCATAGGGGAGTGTTTGAAAAGAACAAGCTGATTTTAAAAATCTCTTCAATGTGCTTTGGAAACATGGAAGTATATACAGATGATTGAGGTGCTTATCATGTCATTGTTATGAAATCATGGAATCACAAGCTTAGGGTTGGAGAGAACCCCAGTTGTCAAACCACCAGTCTGCAGTATTGCCCACAATTGGTTGTCCAGCCACCGTTTGAAGCCCAATATACCATGGTGGATAGAGAGCTAGACATAGAATCAGGAAGACCTGAATCAAAATCCCACCTTGGATACTTACTAGCCATGTGACCATGGGCAGGACAGCTTCTCTAAGCTTCAGTTTCCTCATTGTTTTTGTTGGTGTTTGTCCTTCATTCTCGAAGAGGACCATGACATCAGGGAGGTGATGCCATGACTTGCAAGTGAAATGGATTTAAGTGAGGAAGGGCTGTGCAAAGTCACCAGCCTCACTTTCTCTGTCAGAGCCATCTGGGTCCAGTGGCAAGATATGGATCAGAAGGACTGGAGATGGTCCTCAGTTTCCTCACCTATAAATTACTTTTGCTCCATTGCCCAGATTTGATGAGCCCTAAGGCCCCTTTCAACTTTTAATTGATAATCCTAAGGTCTCTTGTGAAAGGGAACACATCACTTCCAGAGGCAGCACATTTCTCTTTAGGGTCTCTCATGATGAGGAAGTTTTTTTTTTCTTCCTTATATTGAATTAAAATCCACCGCCCAGTAACTTCCCTCCATTACTCCTGTTTCTGGTGTCTGGGGTAGTTTCTTAAAAGGATCGTATTAGACTGTGTTCTAGGTCACTGCATTTAATTGAAATAAACGAAACTTAGAGAATTCAGAAATGGAAGGGAGCCAGTTCAGAAGCATCAAATATAACACTTTCAAATATAGCCCCAACCAGACTAAAATTTCCAAAACAAATAGGAATATAATAGAATATGAGTAATGTGATTATGTTTTTTAAAGTCAATATATGGTCCCCTGCAGGGATAGCTGGTCCTCTTTTTTCTGTTTCAGTTGACACTGATCTAGTTCAACTCTTTCATTATACAGGTGGGTTGACCGAGGCCCATAGACGTTGCCCAGGGTCACCTAGGTAGTACGTAGAAGAGGCAAATTCAAGGTCAGGTCCTTTGTCTCCAACTCTCATGTTCTTTCCACTACACTGTGGTTCTTTCTCTGGAAAACAACTACAACAACGAAGCCAACTTTTAGGCTTTTCCATAATTCATGTCTGCCTCCAGTTGCTCCAGCTTTGTTAAGTTTTACTCACAAATATTTCTGCCAAATTTTGAAAGATCCCTGACTTATGCTTTCTTCTTGAGCAGAGAACCTACGTCTTTAAAAAAGGATCCTTATGTTGCATTGCTCCTCTGAGCCTCAGTTTCCTAATTTGTAAAATAAGGGGGTGATAAGATGATTTAAAAAAATATTTATTTAGTTTTAGTTTTCAACACTCACTCCCATAAGATTTTGAGTTCCTAATTTTCTCCCCCTGTCTCCCACACCAAGACGGCCTGCAATTTTGTATAGGCTGTACATATACATTCATATTAAACATCTTCACATTAGTCATGCTGTAAAGAAGAATAAAACCAATGGGAGGGACCACAAGAAAGGAGAAAACAACAACAACAACAACAACAACAAAGAGAGTAAATAGTATGTTTCCATCTACGTTCAGACTCCATAGCTCTTTTCCTGGATGTGGAGAGCATTTTCCATCATGAGTCTTTTGGAGTTGTTTCAGATGCTTGCATGGCTAAGAAGAGTAAGCCTATCAAAGTTAGTCATTGCACAATGCGGCTGCTACTGTGCAGACTGTTCTCCTGGTTCTGTTCATTGCACTCAGCATCAGTTCATGTAAGTCTTTTCAGGTTTTTCTGAAGTCTGCCTATTTATCATTTTTTATGGAACGATAGTATTCCATTACATTCATATACCATAACTTGTTCAGCTATTCCCCAATGGATGGGCATCCCCTCAGTTTCCAATTCTTGGCCACCACAGAAGAGCTACTATAAATATTTTTGCACATGTGGATCCTTTCTTCTTTTTTATGATCACTTTGGGATAGAGACCTAGAAGTGGTATTGGTGGATCAAAAGGTATCCATAGTTTTATAGCCCTCGGGCATGGTTCCAAATTGCTCTCCAGAATGGCTGGATCAGTGCACAATGCCACCAACAATGCATTTGTGTTCCAATGTTCCCACATCTTCTCCAGCATTTATCATTTTCCTGTTTTGTAATGTTAGCCAGTCTGATAGGTGTGATGTGGTATCTCAGAGTTATTTTGATTTGCATTTCGATGAGATGATTTTTTAAGATTCCTTACAACTCGTTCATTCAACAAACATTATTAATTGACTTGTAAGCTTTGGAGATATAAAGTCAAAAGTGAATGAATTTCTGTCCACAAGAAGTTTGTTTTGCTGGGGAAAACAAAGGCACAGATAAGTTTAAAAAATGT